TGGCCAGACACTGCCAACCCAATCCGACCTGCTTGGCCTGGTACAATGCAGCAGCCCAGCCAGTGCTCGGGGGGGTGAACGCACCTAGGTGGCTGCAGCCGTACTGCGGGTCTGAGGGCCACCCCCCCGACCACCCAGCTCTGCTCCTTTCTGCACCCCCAGAAAGCAGCAGAACCGCGGCGAACGCACTAGCCATGCCGGACGCGGAGAGCCAGAAGGCGTCACACTCCTCACAGACTGGCAGACGACAGGAAGTGAGGAGAGCAGCTTTCCCTGTGACCAGAAGGCAGCTGGCAGTCACCCTGGAGCAGCACTGACTATGGATGCTTGGGGGAGCCATGGTCCACCAGTACCCAGCTGCAGCAGAAGCTGCCTGGCCCCTTCTCCTTCCCAGGAGTCAGATCCATGTGACAGCCAGGCCTGAAATCCAGGCCAGGTGCTGGTCACCTCCCAGCTACCCCTGCATGGCTGGCACTAGTCTCTCAGCCTCTGCCCGCCACTCCCCCTCCCCCCACCCCCCAAGTGATCAGAACAGCTAACCTGCTGCATAGGTTCCCTGGACAGACCCAACCGTTCAGCAAGAGTGAAGGAAAAGCCTCGGTGGTCGCTCAGAGACTGGGGCTGGTTTATCACTGACGCATGCAGCCGTGTCTGGCCAACGTGTCAAGCCCAGCGGCCCAGGAACCTGCCATCACCACGACCACCCTGCAGCTGTACCTGAAGAGGGCCTTCTCCGCCCCCAGGATCTGCACCGTTGAGGCCGGGTACTTGGCCAGATTCGTCAGGCTGCCGGCGTGGGAGATCAGACGGGCGCCCACCTGCAGACAAGCCAAGGAGACAAGCAGGGTGGTGAGAGAGCTGAGGCTCTACAATCCAGCTGCTAAGACTACAGGCCCCAGCATGCAATGCTGCATTCTGTGCCACCTGGGCACAGCCCTTGGTGGCCGGTTTGGGCCCTTCGGCTAGTATGGGCACGCTCCCCAGGGCACGGATCAGCAGTGACCGTGTCTCAGCACAGAGCTCAGTGGATTGACAGATTCACACTAGAACATCATTTCTGTGGCCTGGGAGAGCACAGATCACCCCTGCCCCAGCCCGAGGGCACTCACCACTTCCCCGATGAGAGCGGAGAGACTGGGAGCCACCTGGCCCATCTTGGAGCGCAGATACTCCTGCAGGCCCTTGCGGTACTCGGACAGCGAGATCACCCGGCTGGAGAAGCTCTCGATGTTGATGAGGTCGATGGGGGAGATATCCATCCCTGCAGAGAGCAGATGTCAGCGCACGACAAGAACTGCCACTAGGCCAGGGCAACCCCCGGGGGGCGCTGCAACCCTGGAACTGCCACCCCCAAGAGAAGCAGCAGGTCAGAGTCCTGAGCCTCCCCATTAACAGCAGCCAGTACTAGCCTATGGGGTTGGGGAGAGAATTCCTCCCCTGACCCCCCGCCCCTCCCCATCAGCCTCTGCTCAGTGCATGTCCTAATCAAGAAGGAACAGGTCAGGTGATATGGGGAGCCCAGAGCAGCCGCGCGCCCCACACTCCCCCGAGCCATGTGCAACATATTCATGAGCCCTTAGACCCCGGTGTCAGCACTACTGACCCCCCCCCCCCCCCACGCGCCCTCAGACCCCAGTGCCAGCCCTCAAGACCCCCCTCCAGCCCTCAGGATGGTTTTAGAAGCGCCGCTAACCCATGGATGACCGAGAGGCGTCCAGAATGGCCTGGGCCTTGGCGCTGTCCATCACGATCTCCTCCAGCCCCTCCAGACTCTCCTCGCTCAGCTCCTTGCGGTTCCCGATGCACTTGGCCAGGCGGCAGTACGTGTAGTTGTCACTCACGATCTTGATGAGCTCTGGGAAGTGATACCCGTACCACTCTCTGCGGGAGGCCAGAGGGGAGCAGTCAGGGAGGGGAGCCGATGGACCTGCCGTCGCCTCCCCCGCAGCAGACGTGTCTCCCTGCTAACAAGACAGCCCAGGTCACAGGCTCCCTGGCTGGGGTGTACGCAGGGCAGATGCTCTTCCTCCCCTTTCTATGCAGTCAGCGCTGGGCGTCGCGCTGCCTGCGGTAAGCACGGGGAGGGGGCAATGCACGGGGAGGGGGCTCCACACGAACCTGCCATGCAGTCCGGCGCACTCTGCACACAGCGCTACCCCCGGCCCTCAGAGAGCCCTCACCTGACGCGCATGGAGAAGGTGTTGATGTCCTTGTCCAGCTGGTCCAGCAGGCTGATGGACTGGATGATCATGTTGTCAACTCTGTTGACGTTGAATTTCACTTTGGCCCGTGAGTAGCTGTGCCCCAGGCCCAGCTGCGCCTTGGAGGCCGACTGGGCAGTGAGGCCCTTCACCAGGGTGTGGAAGTGCAGGCGGATCCCTGCGGGCACAGAACATCTGTGAGCACCGAGCCCCTGCCCGTCCCGGGACAAGCCAAGGAGTGAAGACAGCCTGGAGCGAGCACTGGGGTCCCCTTAATATCCCAGCACCTCCCCTCCAACGCAAACAGGGACACCCCCCACACACGCAGGGCACTGGGGGACAGACCCAGGCGTATCACCCCCCAGGGGGCCAACTGGCATCTCCAGGCCTCACTAGAGCCCCTGTCTCTTCTCACCTCGCGTGATCTCTGCCACGACCCCTCCAGTCTGGCACTGGTAACCCAGCTCCTCTTGGACGGCAGCCCCAATTTTGGCATCGCTGACTCCCAGCAACGCTTTCTTCTTCTTGGCCGGCAGGTTGGTCTCCAGGAGCAGCCTGAGGTCCTCATGGAGAATCCCTGCCCCGGGAAGAGGGAGACGTTAATGGGCTGTGCAGCTACAGGGCACCAAGGGGAGCAGGGCAGCAAGTCTCCAGCCCAGCCTCACCTTCCGAGATGGCATTGACATTCTCCAAGGCACTCTGGGCGGATTTGAATGGGGAGAAGGCCACCAGTCTGACGATGCTGTGGAACTTGCCGATGTTCAGGATGCTCTCCTCCACCTGGAAGGGACCACAGGGAAGCAGGTGAGTATCACACAGGGCAACCCGGGACCCCAATCCCGCAGGGGGACTAGCATGGGGCCCAGCAGCACACATCCTGACTGAGCACAAAGCCCCTATGAGTAATGCGGCTAAAGCACAGGCTGCAGACTGCAGCCCCCACACACATGGCTTCTCTGTAAGAGCAGGAAGCTGCTGAGATTGCTCGCGGACACTGCATGGTAGGACCTAAAGTCTCCACTGGCTGTACCATAGACAGCACCAGCTCCAATCACCTGCCCCCTGTAAGCACCCTGGGAGCAGCGTAGCAGCAAATACCTCCCACCCTGGCTGGGCAGCGTGAGACCTGCGCACAGAGCAGGCACCCGAGTGCTCAGAGCCACATGACTGACATCACTGCTTTCAGCGGATTGACAGATCTCGGATGTTCATCACGGCACTCACCAGACGCCTGCCTTACACAACAGAGGTTCAGCCCCACTGGCTGGGTTCACACGCAGCCCAGAGCGACCCACCTTCTTAGCAGGGCTGCCCAGAGGATTCAGGGGGCCTGAGGCAAAGTAATTTCGGGAGCCCCTTCCATAAAAAGAGTTGCAATACTATATTCTCGTGGGGGCCCCACAGGGGGCCAACTGCCCCACTTGTCCGTCCGTCCCCCACCCCCCCCAGGCGGCCCTGGGTCCTACCGCCATGGGACAATCCCACTCCCGGCAACCTGCCGCACTACACCCCCTCCATGCCCCTGCCCCTGGGCTCCAGCGGGATGCAATGGGACTGCGCATCTGGCCCCCCTGCCAGGACCCATCTCAGCTGGTTTCCCTCCCCCCGCCCCCGGAAAGGCCAGGGACAGAGGGGGGAAGCGCCCTTGGGCCAGGCACCAAGGTCAGCTCAGGGAGCAAATGTTCCCCTAAGGCAGTGACACGCCTAGGACGCGGCTCCCCAAGGAGACCCTGAAACCTCCCGGGGCCTGTTCAGCCGAGAGAGCCGGGCCCCGCCACGCACGTGGGCACCCACTGGCCCTGCCCTAGGGGCTCCAGCACCCCCCACCCGGGGCCGGAGGTGCCCGGGCCGGGGCAGCAGGAGCAGGACAAACCCCCGATCCCCCGGGGCCGAGGGGCGCGGCTTGGGCCCGGGGCCGCACGTGGCGGCTGCGGGCGGGCGGGAGAACGCGGCCCGCACCTGGGGCAGCAGCAGGCTGATCTCCTCCACCTCCCGCACGGCGAACAGCGCGTAGCCGGCCGCGTGCTCGAACAGCACGTGCAGCAGCACCTGCGAGAGGGGGCGTGAGAGCGCGCGGGACGGTGCCCCCCCCCCAGCCCCGCCCCCCCCCATCGCCCCGAGCCAGCCCCCCCCATAGCCCCGCCGTCCATCCCCCCCCACCCCCCACCGGGATAACCTCCCCCCG